GAATGACATTTGTTATCGCACAATGACAATGCTAACATGCCGATGTTTAGCAGGTTTAAAGTTAACCATGGTCATTAGTTAGTTTAGTGTGTTAGCATGCTTATATTTGTGGATTAGCATTAAACACAAAGGACAGCTGAGGCTCATGGGAATGTCATTAGTTTTGACCTGAGACTGGTGACATTATAGGAAAAGTCATGTAATCTCCAAAGTTATTACTTTGTGGGGGGGGGGCATCAACTCTGAGTCATTGTCAAGACATTTCACTTAAAACCACAAATGTCAACCACCTGGTGGCGCTAAAGAAAAAAGTTGGGATCCCCAAAGTCTATATGATATGTCATTTGGGAACCATGACTGTTGGTGCCAATCCATCCAGTGGATGTTGAGATATTTCACAGGATAAGTGAAAACTTTGATCTGCATGGGGTGCTAGAGGACAAGTCAAAACGATCACCAATGTCATTAGAATTCATCCTCTGGGCACCATGAATGTACCATGATCATGGCACATCATCTACGATAGGTTTCTTGAACACACAAACAAACATGTCAACCTGCTGGTAATGCTCGAGAATAAGTCAGAGAATCCCTAAATACAATAGGATGCGTCCTCTAGACACCATCATCGTCTGTACAAACCACAAAAAGAGAAGGGTATCGTTCTCATCATTGCTTGTTGGAGTTGCTGCCTCATCTTTATAGTACAGCTTTTACTTTTATCTTTTTACAGTTTTTATGCGTTACATGTTTAATTCAAACTCTGCAAACCCCATTTCCACTCTAAAGCCTCCAAGAAATCCCATTAATAATGTGTCTACTCTCATCGTCTAAATGATTTCTCTCTCATTAAGTCAAACCATCCATCAAACGGTTTGCTGTACTCTGCTCACTATTAGGCATAATATGAGATGTTGTGAAGATGAAGGCAAGTGTTTGCTTAGTAAATAGAAGTGTGGCACGTTGCATCGCTCATTTGTTTTCATATGGAAGAATTGGATTTCATGATTGCTTTTTAATTCTGCCTGCAGGGTATATTAAATGCCTGCAAACCTCTGAACACTTTGTCCAGGAAACTAACAATTATAGTCAATCTGAACATGTGGCAACCACAGCTAATTGAGAGAAGAGATGGGGCTTAGGCGGAGGAACTGCCTCATCATTACACTATAAGGTTTAGTTTCTCCATATAGTGTTACTGTTTATGCCAGTGATTCAATATTCAAGTATAGATCACAATGTAACACTTTATATTTACAGCAAATGCTATTTGCACACCGCTATGATAGCATAACATTTCAAAAGTATAAAACATTTCAAAGATGTCTCTTAGTAAGGGCATATCATTAAAGCCTTATTATTTACAACTTCATCCACCTTGTCATGGAGGCTCTCAAAGGGATCTCATGCCAGCAGGAGACACCAGTTCCTCTAGCACAGCCCTGTCTCTCAAAATAACATTCAAATACAACACACATAATGTTACCGAGAGCAGACATATTTATCCTGAACACACCAACACAACCTTTGCTGTCAACAATTTTTGTTTGCTTTCCCTACAGTGGCCGCTCTTGGCAACACAAATGATGGTGGTCTTGGTTTATAAAAATAGTCAATACTGAGACAGGAAGCCTTGAATTTAATACTTAACCAAATCCGCAATGTTTCCATGATTTTAACCAAAACAAACACCACATGGGATGCAAACCTCTGTCCCTATTCGCCAAAATATCCACGTTGACCTCCTCTACTCAACTTCTAACATCATACGTCCTGAATTGAAAAAAGACATTGCCACTAAACATGATTCAGACAGCAGAGCAGCAGTTTAATCATTGAGGCCTTCTCAGGTCTTCACCAATCAAAACTAAACCCAACAAAATACTTCTGTTTCTTTAACTGTCTGAAGAAGGACTGACCTCTGAAGTGAGAGTTTGTTTTGTGGACCAACACAGTATGTTGGAGGTTATGACTAAAGCACATGCGTCCCTATTTCTTCTGTATAAAATTCAAATAAGTGGTCAAATAGTCCTGCGTAGCGTTGCCATCTGCATCTGCAGCTATTCATTTGTGCTTAGTTTCCCTGAGAGTGTAGTGGTTTACTCTGAGAGGCTTCTCCAGACCACCAAGGCAAAGTCCAAGACGCGCCGATAATGATATACAGCATGAGCTCCGACAGACCCAATGCTTTTCATACCAGCTCTGGGGGTCATCTCTAGTGAAGACGTGCCTGTCGGCGTGCAGGGGGATGATGAGCGTTCACACAAGCAGAAAGAGGGGGATTACTGTCAATTGCGCCCAAATTGCAATAATACCCACTGCCGGGCCACCCACACATGCGCTGAGAGACAAGTGATAAATTGCTACATATGTCCATTCCACAGTGGCAACTCCACCAGCACACTGCCCACAACGGTCTCCATTCTTTCACAGTGTGACATGTGGAAACAAGTGGAATGGCTCTTGCTGTAAGAGGCATTGAAAATCTAAAATGTTGACTTGGATATGTTCAACACAGACAGCTGTTTCATTACTTTAATACGTGCTATCAGGCTAAGTATCTTGGTAAACATGGTATATCCGTCTCTAAATCAGTAGCTTTTCGGGAGCCTAGAATAACAAGCTGAATCTCTGACAGTTCACAAATCAAATCTGATCATCGCCATGTTTATCTTGTGTTTTAAAATGTTACTATCTGACTTATTCCCTTTTGGTACAGTCTTAAAGAGACATTTGTCATTTAAAACCATTTATGTGCACCTAACAATTGCTAGTTTAAACAATGATACTACATTTTTTATCAACATTGCAGCCCATCGTCGTACTGAACAGCAAAGAATTCCACCACACAAGTTTTTTTTTTTTTTATCCACCTAAATACAATATCATATTTTGAAACTAAACCCTTCAATGTGTTCTCATGTAGGAATACACGGTAATTAGTTCTGATCATATCATTCCTCTGCGTAAGAGCCGAGCAGATGGCTAATCCGGTCCCAGTATCTAATCAGAGCAGTCATTCTAATGACAGGATAATTTCATAAGAGGCCTTTGTCTCCGAATATTCAGGAGCAGCATGGGGGAGATCGGAGATATTCATCACCAGCACAGATTGGAAACAGGCCCTAATAAATGACACATTTGCTTCCTGCCAGTCCGTGTTAGAGGAATGGTAGAATGTAGGGGATGTGGTGCAGTGTGTGTATGTGTGGGCAAGGAATGACATGGTTGGTGTGTGTGGGTGTACAGCAGCTGCAGCTCTATGCGCTCTTCTGACTATGTGTATGTATGACCGTGTGTGTGTGTGTGTGTGTGAGTTTTGTATCAGTAGTGAGAGCATTAGAGTTCAGTCAAGTTAATAGATGAGGCATGAATGTAGAATTTACACCTTCAGGTCGGGGAACCAAAAACCTAATCAGTGCTAACAATGCAGCTGGTGGCTCAAAAGTATGTGTGTGTGCGTAGTCTTACAGTTGTTTAAGGCCACACAGAACATCTCACTGTTCTGATCTTTGTGTCATTCTTTCTACCTTCTGTATCTGTTTCTATGCAGTAACGCTAATGAATACCTGCGACGTATCTAATACAGGCAGAAAGTAAAGAAAAACGACACCCATAAAATCAGATGTGGCCGTAAAATCCAGCCTTGTTTCTGAGTGTGCGCTACACGGAGACACCGAGCCACGAAGAGACATATTATTTACAGCACCGCGGGAAGTCACAGCCCAGCATAGACAGAAGGAAAATATATAGACGCACAAGGGCAGGATCTTCTGGATCTTCTTGAAGCCAAGTTAAGGCTCAGAGCCGTTTATCATGTTGGATCTGAGCTCGCTGTTTCCTGCAAACTGCATGTAGCCTAACGTTCTTCTACCTTGGGAAGGAGTGTCCTGGGGTCAGGAAGTTAATATCAAACACACACACACACACACACACACACACACACACACACTCACACAGAGGCAGGTCCCAGCTTTGTATCAGGTTGATGGAGGGGGCAGACACGGTTGTTGCAGCCAGAGTCATATTTACATCAGCCAGTGTAATATTATCAATAAAAGCCAAGAGGGCCGCAGCTCGCCATAAATCACAACAGGCAGGGAGCACCACAGCTGTTCAGAGTTCATCTTCCTCAAAGGCGAGTAGGAAGAAAAGAGGACAGATAAAGACACAAAAGAGGGAGGTCGGTGACTTTAATTTACCAGGCTGTGAAATAATTATATTCTATAAACAGGGTTGCAAAAAATGATTACTTTCATTATTGATTAGTCTGTTGAATATTTAATAGATTATACTCAATAAATAGTTTATAAAATGTCCGAAAAAAGTGTGGAAAATGGAAATCTCAATTTCTAGAGCCCAAGATAAAGTCTTCAAATGTCTTGTTTTGTCTGACCAACAGTCCAAAACCCGAAGAATATTCCATTTAAAATGATATAAAACAGAAAAAAAGCAAATCCTCAAAAATAAGAAGCCAGAGACAAAGAATATTTTGCATTTTTGCTTGTAGATGACTCCATTGATTAATTATTAAAATAGTTCCTTAATCTCGACTACTGTTTTAGCCTTCATTTTCAATAATCAAGATCATATTATTGTTTAACCAACAACTGAATATTTTCAAGCCAATTGTAACGAGAAGGTAACAAACTGATATGTTAAGGATCTTTGTGGTACTTAACAATGGAAACAGGTCATTCCACTGAACATCACTTTGATTAATTTACATGTGATTTTGCATCCATATTATCCTGCACTGAATACGTAGATAATAAAACACAATTGTATCATATTGATTTTAGCTATATCGCCCAAACTGTCCAATTTAATAACTTTTCTTGATAGTTCAAACACCGCTGGTTGTAAAAACGGGATGGTTTTGTAAGTCACGGACTGTATATGGTTGATGAATTCAATCTGAATCAATATAAGTTTGACTTTCATGCATGCCAGTAATCAGTTTTTTTTCTTCTTTTTTGGTGAAATCAAGTGTCACGTCTCATTTGGGAGCGATGCTCTTCAAATACTTCATCACCGGCCCTCTCAGTTCCACTGCAGACGCTTGCTGACCTCATCGAGTGACCTCACCAATCACAGATCAAAGTCTTTGGGTTTCTGGCTGGTCAGGTTAATCAGCGGACCACCCTGGAAAACCAATCAGGTAACATCTTACTTGACTTAAAGGAATTAGGCTGCTTTTGACGAGCAACTATGTAGGTTTCCTCTGATGTACTGAAATACACGTTTGAGGTTCTTCTGTTCGCTCGGAGCATGTCACTGAGTCTGTTTTGGGGGATTCAATACTTTGATTTCAATTACATCAGTCATTAGTCATTTTGATTTGTTTAATTTGGGCTTTGAAGGAAATGGGAATGCACGCAAAACGATAGTGAGTGAGTCAACTGACAAGGGAGGAAAATAAGTGGAGGCTCATATACAGAGAATAAACCTCACGTTGAAACTTATACTGCACATACTTTTAATTTGTGATATTTAGATTACTGGGTATTTTAAATACAAACAAATATTGCAGTCAAAATTGGAGCCTGAATAGTATGCATGGAGTGTGTGTGTGTGTGTGTGTGTGTGTGTGTATGTACATGTGTATGCATGTGTGTGTGTGTTGCTAAGAATGGAGCGCTTGTATCACTTGCCCCTTTTTGAGGGGAAGTGACACGAGATACTTAAAGACCAAAATTGCCTCACTTAGCCAAACAAACTAGCTCTCCTGACATACACACTCATTCATTCGCACACACTCACTTATGCATGCACATACACACACATACACGTCTTAAGCTCTCTAATGGCCAATAAACTCAGGATGTTCATTCCTCCTCTCAGGCTCACAAAAACCGAACAGCGAAATTATTGAGAGACAACGGATTCCAATGTAGCTCTGCCTAATGACCACACACACATGCACAGTTTGAGGGTCAGCGACGGCTAAAGCAGATAGGATGTACGTAGTAACCCTAACATGGCTTTTATAAGCCTTCAGCTCTTTTGAAACGCTGGGAGAGAACCCAGGCCTGCATATAAAAATACTGAGCTTTGTGGAGCAAGACTTTGAAGTTTTTCCTGCTTGATCTCAAACTGAGAGAACAAGATGATCTCAGGACCACTACAGATAGATGAATCTATGCCAACAGAAAGACAAGTTACCTGTGAATAACAGTATGCACGTCGGCTGTTTGTCTGAAAAGGTCAAACATGCAAAGAGAAGAATATGAAGTGCAGATGTAGATTATTGCAACGATACCAACATTACATTGGTCTAAAATGTGAATAATGGCTTTACAGATAAAAACATCAAATGTTCAAGAATTTAGTCAATATAATATCTGATTGAAAAAAAACATTTCTGTCACGTAACAGAGGATCTTAATAGGAATCATGAGCTCTAAACAAATACATCCTTTTGTACGCAGCACATATAACCATATAAACTTTAAAAAGCGGAAGTACAAAAGCAGCCATGGGGGTTTTTGATGCAGAGAAACCAAAAATTTACAGGACATTTCCTTCCTTATCTTGATACTCCCATCTGAACCATTTGAATATTATTGTCCCGTCTCAGCTGCTAAATTCCCTTTCCCTCCAAAGGACAATTTCTGCTCCCTACAAATTTTAAGATTTCTGTCATTTTACAGGGATGGCTAAAGGGAGAAATGGGCCATGTACAGTGCAAGTCTATATGTGTGTGTGTGTGTGTGTGTGTGTGTGTGTGTGTGTGTGTGTGTGAGAGAGAGAGCGAGAGAGAGAAAATTCAACACCACCAATGCATCTAATGGTTTCTTTCGGGACCATATGTCCTTTGTGTCAGCACAGCAGCAGCACAGCCTCTACAGTTACAGTCGGGTACGGTGTGAAAGACAGACATGTTGTATAATAGAAGGTGGGAGGTGGTGGGCATTACGTTGTGTGTGTGTGTGTGTGTGTGTGGAGCATGGGGAGAGCTGCAGAGCGTTTTTGAAGAAGGAGATCTCTCCGTATTGCCTTACCATCGATAAATCTAGGAGCTCGCTATAGTGCTGACATAAATTGGCCTGCACACCCAACGCAACCCAACTACACATCTAAAACCTCAACTTCAACCTTTTCTTAAACAACTTTAAATCAATAGTTGTTCCGCAAACATCCGTGCACGCTTTGCACACACACTCACACACAGCTGCACAGACACCCACATAGTTTTGGGTAATTAGTAGTTTTTCTCGGTGGTGAGTGCGTTTCCTCCTCAGGGTCACTGATAGCAAAACGGCTGTTAAACTTTATATTCCCTGATGGGGCGGAGAAGAGAGTGAAACAGAAGGAGCGCACTCTCTCATTAACACAGCGCTCAGTGTTTGTGTGTGTGTGTAGCTGTCTGGATGGTGTTTCCATGCTCAGGCCAAGTCTTGCAAAGGTGAACAGATACTCTTTAACCTCAAGTTAGAGTGAGATAGTTCCTTTCTTCAATAATCTGGAAAATTGGAGAATTGTTTGAAGGTGTATGTCATGTCAGTAAATAAAAGTGAATTCAATTATTTTATTCAAAATCTCACGTGATGGGACTATCGAGATACAGAAAAAGTCATGAGCATGTGTCAGCGAACGAGGATTGCATATTGTGACACAATTATGGAAACATTGCAAAATTACAAAGTGGTAAAAACAACAGATGAAATGACGTTATCAATGATGTTAACAAACTAGTGCCAAAACTATTGATCGATTAATTGATTGGTCAAAGTTTTCAGTCTGTAGTTCCAGCTTCTCACGTGTGAGTTGCCTTTTTTTGTCTTTGTCTTGTGTGATAGTAAGATAAGCATATTTGGGTTTTGGAGTGTTGGTCAGACAAAACATATAATATTTTAAAAAGTCACCTTGGACATTAGGAATTTTTCATTGTGAATTGCTTTTTCCGCACTATTTTCTGACATTTTATGGACTAAAGAATTGTCGTATTAACCGATTATGAAGATAAAAGTTTGTTGCAGCCCTAAAACAAACAATATATTATACTGATCTGTACAAAATATTTCAATTAGTGAAGTAACATGTTTGGGTTATGTATTTGTGTGAGATTAGGAGTCACACAAATTACATAAAATTCTGCACTGTACGAAGCAACTATTGGCCATTTATTTTGTCTGTAATTACCGACCTACTGGAACAAAACAAGTTATTCTACAATAACTAGTATAAAACATGTCAGAAGAAAGAGGAAATACCAAAGAAATCAAAATATGAATCAATAATTCCTTCAGTATTCACATCTATGCACACTGGTTCCCTCTCAAATTGTAATTTCTGTTTACAAAAAGACGGATGTGGGAGATTTTAATGGACTCAGCAAAAAAGAAGCTGCTCTGAGGCACTTTGACATTTTCAAACACACACACTTTTGGTGAATTAAAGGGATTCTGTAGATAGCTCTGAAAGCTTATCCTGTGCACCTCAGCAGATTCTAAAGCCCTTTTTCTTATGTGATCATTTTAGGTAATTGAATAAATTCCCAGAGCTCTGTGTGGAATTAGAAGAAGCGAGACTTTGGTCAGTGGAGAGCTTTTAAGAAACCAGGGAACGTACATCAGAGGCCAAGCAGTCGATGGTAATGTAATGAACGTTTACATTCACCTGCCTCTCACCTTTCCTGTTGATATATATCCACAATCTTAACTGCACCGGGTCCAGTTTGTTTTCATAAATGTGCTGTATCTTTTTTTTCCTCATCTCTCGCCTCCTCGTCCCTGCCTTGAAAATGAAATATTTGGTGTTTCAGTGAGGGGGTTGGGGTGTGGTGTGTGTGTGTGTGTGTGTGTGTGTGTTAAGGGGGGCAGAGGGCTGGTTACGATGCCAGAACTAGCACTTCTGGTTGGAAAAAAGGGGTCTGACTTTTCGTCAGACGTGCAGCATGGACAGACAGGGCGAAGGAAAGGCTTTTTGAAAGTGCAGTCCAAGAGCAACAGAAAACACTCCCTCCTGACCGTGTGGTCAAAAATGGGTGTAGAGGGAGAGGCGGCATCTGGCCTGTCGCCTGGCGAGAAAGGAGGGGTGCAAACATACCTGCCTCGGCCCGCAATGTGCCTCCTCTGCTGCCAGCTGCAGGCTGTGGGTATGTGGTGGAAGAAGAGGGTGAAGGATGGAGGGAAACAGTAAGAGCAGAGAGGGGCAGACAGATAGAAAGAGCAGCAGCGAGAAAGACAGGCAGACGGAGAGACAGAATCACGTAGAACAGCGCCAGGCAGGAGGATACTGAGAAGCATCGAGGCATATCATGAACAAGGTCAGAAAGACACCGCTTGGAAGAACAGGAAATGATACAGGATATATCCTCTCTTTCTCTCTGCACTCTCCGAGGCCTGTGCTGTAAGTGACAGCGCTGCAGAGGGAAGTTGACATTGCTGAAGTATGAATTTCACCCGTTTGTGTTTTGCGGAAAACACGGAATCGAGGCTGTCTGCCCGGATCAGGGGCTGGGCCCTCGACCCCTGAATGTTCCCTCCGAAGCAGACAGTGAGGTTTTATTGGCCAGTCAGACTCAATTTATTAAACACTATGCAACTCTTTTCTCAGCTTTCGAGTTAGTCTCTCCAAAGGTGGTTGTGATATGCATTTGGACATGGATATGAGAGGTATGTCTGTGGCCTCTTACTTTAGATACATGCTCTTTTCCTCGCAGTGTTTTTTAATTGTTTTAACAAGCATGTATGATAACATATAATACTGATGTGTGTATATGAAAAAGTACACATTTAAAAACATTTTTGGATATATGTTTAAACCCCCTGTGATACTTTAAGGGCCAGAAGGAAACCAACGTGTAGTGAGTAGGGATGGGTATCGTTAAGATTTTATCAATACTCTTATCGATACTGCTTATTGGTTCGGTGACTTATCGACACTCTTATCGGTTCTTTTTTAATACATCGTGAGACGAAAAAGACAATTAATAAGAAAAGAATCAACATTGCTTCATTGTTCTTGTATGTAAACACATCGTCTTTTTTGAGCAGCAATCCAATGCATAATTTAGAACCGGTTCCTATTTAGAACCAGGTTTCGGGGGCATCCCTAGTAGTGAGAAAGAGAAATTAAGCTAAGGCGGGTTGCACATAAGTACAGTTTCCTTGCAAAGTAACAGAGGATGTTTGTCTCAAACAAGACATTGAACACGATACGTCCATTAACAGACTAGAGGTAAAGACCTCCCAAAAATGTCCAGGTGAAATGAAAGGAAATATACTACTTATGCTGCCCGACTCGGGCAAGACAAGAGCTTAATCCGAAACACAAACAATACGCATGTAGCATGCAGGTTTACATCTCTGCATACACATGTATATTTACACACTGACACACACACTCACAGAACAGTGGGTAATGCGATATGCTCAGCTACGGAGTGGTGGAGTAAAGTGAGACCTTCCTGTAATCAAAAGAAACAACGTGCTACAATAAAGGCTGTTTTGAAATGGTCTGTGGCCTGAGGGATGGATCCCTCCGTTGGAATGAGGAAGAGAAAATGGACAATAAGCTGTGTGTCACAGAGCAAATAGAATAGAATAAAGTACAGAGCAGAAGAGAAGTGGCTGGCTGTACAATTTTCATGACATTGTGTTGTGTTGAGTCAAGATCTCTTTTATATTCCTTCCTTTGTCCCCTTTTCCTTTCTCCCCTCGTCTTTTGTCTTCTCTTCCCTCCTGACATTGCAGGTTGCGGTGTGTTTGTGAGTCTCTTGGGCGACATCCATCAGCTGAATGGATAGGGGCTATGCAACAGCAGCGCCACAGCAAACCGAGGGCAGGGCGTATTCCCTTTCCAAAATCCACAGAAACACCGGTCTGGAATCAATCTGCTATCTCACTACTTGCCTCAAAACACACACAAACACACACAATTTAATCTTTAACCCTGGTGAGACTGGTCCATGCTGTTTTTCATCCCTGTAAGTTTATGCGCTGTAATATTGTATCAGGTCTGGGATATGGTTCTCCGCTAGATCTCTGACTTCACCTGCTGCTGAAGCTCTTTACCAGAGCACTGGGAGCTAACTGCTGCCATAAATAGTCAGAGGAGTGTGTACAGCCATCTGCAGGGCAAAGATATATCTCGACAGGAAAAGAGCAAATCTCCTCTCCATGCTACCTGCTGTAAAAGGTTAAACCTTCACATCAGAGACAAGTTGATTTTTGAAAAAGTAAAGAAATAAATAAAGAGAAGTATGTGAGGTGTCTACGGCACACATAATAGATTGCACATGGACAGAGCATTTACGCCATGCCATAAATCAAGTCAGTCCAGCGTGCAGGAGTATTGACATTCATTTTGAATTTTTGAAGCCATGTCTTTGATTTTATCTAACTTTTGAGACAGTTTGACCTGAGAAGATATTTCAATCTAACCAGAACTGCATGTCATTGTGTTCTTGTGTGCAGTATGTATTAAGCAGTATACTAAGTACAGTTTGACATGAGTAGAGATACAAACACAATACACAAATAGGGTTTAAATAGCACATGTATATGCACTATTGAAAATAAAGAAAGTTAGGTAAGGCCCAAGATTGATGAAGTGTAGAAGAAGAAAAGACACATGTGTTTATAATGTCAGATGGGCTCTGTAAAGTGCAATGGGTGTAATAAAAAAAACTAAAATAAATGGTGGATTATGAGATATTTTCAATCCTCTGGTGACCATGAATGTACGTAAATGTGTGCTACATCTGATGAAAATATGCACATCAGATATGACCTGGTATTTGTTTTTTTCAAGCAGAAATGTTGGACCGATATCTAAAGGATCACTAACGGAAAACCAAAATGTCTGACCAAAATCTTAAGACTCATCCACAAATATCCAAAGCACATTTAATGGAAATCTGGCAATTATAGTCTTGTGCTGGTTGTGTGACCGACCAACCAACATCACCAGCATTAGTCATGAGTCATGACACTAGAGGCACAAAAAAGATTATTTATACAAAGCTAAAAACGACACATTGTTCTATTAAGGACTATTAAAGGCATCTGTAGCATCTTTATTGTTGAGCAAAATCATGTCTATTTACCTAAAAGAAAAAGGAGGGTTTGATTTCAACTAATCGATTAGATCAGCGGTTCCCAAACTTTTTAGGCCACGCACCCCCTTATACATCCCAACCGGGTTCACGCACCCCCAATCCCCCACACCTTAAAAAAAAAAAAAAATCAACAGAGCCTATTTATAGCCGCATAACAATCGGACCAATGAGAGAACAGTTTGCTCGCGCGTGGCGTTTGTTTACACGATTTAGTCCGCTGTTAAATGTTGCAGTGTGAACACAAACCGAACAAAGGGCCAACTGCAACATTGTATCATATTAATCCCTGAATCGGAACAAAGCAAACGAACTACGGGTGTGAAAACGCCCCGAAACACTGCAACAAAGTTTCAATACATTTCAGTTACACAAGGCGACACTTTGAAAGAGCAATAAGGATGGCGAGGACACACGCACAGGCTCAGAGGCAGATTGCATCACATTTAATTTACAATTAACCATAGATAGCGGTTACATTAATCTGAATCGAATTACAATAAAGTTACTCTCTCCAATCATACATTCCACCATCTCTTTGGCAGCTGGCAAGCACACGTCTTCGGCGATTGTGTGCGGTAGCCCCTTTCTTGCTATTCTGTAACTGACCAGAGATGAAGCCCGCAGTGCGTTTTTTGTAGACCCAACACATGAATGAGACTGCAGTTGTTTTGGGCTGTTTTGTAACTCCTCCGATTTCGATATATAAAATGTAAGGGGCATTTGACTTGCACTGGCATGCTTGGTGTACAGGTGGCGACGTAAATAAGAGGGCTTCAGACAGCTGTTAGCCAGAACCTCACTGCACACCACGCACTGTGGCTTTGGGCAATCTTGCCAATCCAAGTGAAGCCCATTAGACCACCATTACATTTTTCCTCTCGTGCACCCCCTGGAGGCAGCTCGCGCACCCCCAGGGTGTGCGCACCACACTTTGGGAATCCCTGGATTAGATGATCAACAGAAAAAAAATCACCAACTATTTTGATTATTAATTAATACATTAAGTCATTTTTTAATGCAAAAATGACAGAAAATGCTGTTTGTTTTCAGACCCTGAAATACGTAGATTTCCTGCTTTTCGCTATTTTATATTATACGAAAATTAATATCTTTGGATTTTGAACGGACAAATACAAGACACTTTGAGATACTGGGAGGGACGTTTTTCATTAGTTGCTGACATTTTATAGACCAAATTATTAATCGATTAATATAGAAAATAATCTGCAGATTAATCAATAATGAAAATAATGGTTAGTTGCGGTCCTACTGCCAAAGCGGACTGTGCTCTTGGGTCAAAGACGCCTCTGTACAGCCCATAAAGAGCAATTATTCTTTAATTCTGAAATGCTCTGAAGCAGTCTAAGCCAGACTTATCAAACAACCAGGTAGACTCCAGGGCAATAACACTCCAGTAAATGAACAGACAGCGTATTGTTCCTCTGTGGCTCGTTGCTGCCTCACCTCTGCCTCTGCCTGCTTAATTAAAGGTTAATTGCGTAGAATAAGTATGCACCTCCCGCGAATGTTACACATTTCTCTTTCCATCCACTCAGAGACGAGTTTGTGTGTAGGATATCTGGAATTTATCAACTTGTTCAGGAAATGAGAACCAAGTTTTACCTAACTCAGTGTGTGAGCAGGTACAAAACCAACATATGGGAGTGTGTGTAGCGTGTGTTCACACATAAGCACGTGCACGCGCGCACACACCACACAGAAGAATTCAGCACTCCCTCCGTCATTTTTAATCAAGAATATGATCCCTCATCCCATCTGGGTTTTCTGACTTGGTGGGAGGCAGCGTGCACAACAACAACACATCCGTCTATTAAGGATCTACGACACACGCGCACACACACACACACATTATGCAAACACGGACAGGCAATCTGTGGGGTTGCTGAAGCTGAGACCACCAACTGTTTGGCAAGTTTGGCCATAGACATGGCAAAGAGCAGATGGTACCACTCTTGTATTTGGGATAGCCATTGTAGCAGCCACGCTGACACAAATACACAAACATAAACATGTTCTCAAAATGTAGCACAAAAGCAAAATGCAGCTGGCATGTAGTGGGAGAGACTGTATATTTTTACGTATATTATTATAAACCCTCATACAACACACACACACACTCAGTCATGAGTGTGTGTGTGTGTGTGTGTGTGTGTGTGTTTGTCTGTCTTGTGTCTTTGTTCTCCTTCAGGTTGATTTAGTCAAGTAAATCCTTGTCCTACAGTCAGAGGCCTCCTCATCTCATCACGATCCCCTCCGCTCACTCACTGAATTGACTTGTGTGTGTGTGTGTGTGTGTGTGTGTGTGTGTACGAGGACAGAGGTCAATAAGATAACATTTGGTGGACCACCTGCCGGGAGGCTCAGTTTGCTAAATACAAAGTCTCATCTAACCCATCGCTGTGTGTGTGTGTGTGTGTGTGTGTGTGTGTGTGTGTGTGTGTGTATGTGTGTGTGTGTTGGTTTGCCTTTTACCTGAACAACTGAGGTGCAAAAGTATTTGATTACTGATAATGTTATATCAGTGTGATGAAGAAGAAGTACAAAACATTCAAGCTGTGAGTCTAAACCAGTGCAAGTAGATCACACAGACATCTGAATACACATCAGAAATCCTCTTCTTTGTACACATATATTTTCTCATCTCTATTAAGAGTTTTGTGACATTATATATCCTAACTATAATTTAAAACTAGTGAAGAAATTAAACCAATTTATAAAAGCCATCATCTTATTTTGTATTCTTAAAGCCGTCCCTAAACGGGGTCTATGACACGTCACCTTTGCTTACCATCAGTCCAGCACCAGAAGGAAAGCGTCACTATTGGAGTGAACATTAACAAGTTGTGCTACCAGCTCACTGCCTCATAACCCGGAGGAGAGGAAGCTTTAACTAGCTACACTGACCGCAACTCTCAGGGTGGTTCACACACAGAAACAGAGGGAGAGAGACTAAAAATAATAGCTCTAAATAGTTCTTCTGTTTTTGTGTCCATGAGTACATTATGGATTCATTAAATGTAAGTCCACTAAGGTACAAGTGTGTGTGTTCATTCATCCGTACAAAGATGTGCATGCACTGTGTGTAGAAGCATGTGCACGTGTCTCACAACCAGAGGAATTTTAATTGTCTGAGACAAAGGGAGATTTAATTTTTTCCCAGTACATCTATCTTTCACTCCTTCACTTTTTTTTTTTCACTGTCCTTTCTTCCATGAAACAATAAAATCGTCTGGCCTCTAAGTTATGGAGAGCGTTTGAAGTGGCTGGAGGAGCCAGTAAATTTAGTGGGCACCTTTGGGAGCCTGTTCAGTAGTGCAGTGGCTGTACCTATATTTCATGTGTGCATGTGCATGTGGACGTGCTTGTGTGTGTGTGTGTGTTTGCATGTGCACTCACAAGAGTCCCGGCTGTGCCTCTGTCTCTGTGTGACATAAATGTGCTTAGATTTGGGGAGTGCACATGCATGTGTGTGTGTGTGTGTGTGTGTGTGTGTCTGTGTGTGTGTACATGTTCATGTGGCTCTCTATTTCATAGTCACACTGATTTGTGGCTGTCTACATCAGGTTTCCCAGGACCCCGTAAATCTCGCTGGACAAACTGCATTAGAGATAGACACACATGCACGTGTTTGTGTACGAGTGTGTCAATGAACTTGCATGAGGCCAACCATCGGCCACAGCTTTTGCAAATGTATTAGTACCGCTGGTGCTATATGGCCTTTACTGGTGGTTGTTCAGCACATTGAATCTGAGGCAGAGGCAGTCGATAAAATAAATGTCTCTGTTTGCAAATCAGTGATTTCACTCATTCCACTCATTACATACTTTCTCTTCTTAAAACAGCTAAAGTTTACAGTCCCAGTTGGAACTTTTTATCACATATCCTCAATTTGAATTGCAAGCAGAGACAGATTAAACAAAAATGAATTAAAGTGAATTGTTTCAGAACCTATTTGCCACACACAGGTCAGCTGGCCGTCACCTTTGGTCTGTGTGGAGTGTTTAGATGCAATTTCTAACAGAAGACACGAGGCACAAAAAGCTTAACCTGTAGTTTTTTGTCACCGGTACGTTTTTGAGGTCAGCTCGGTGACTTAGGGGCCCCCACCCATTTTAGACTGGTGACTTGATCCTTTCTATAAACACCCCCCCCCCATAACCCTATATGGACAAGTCATACAGGAGTTATAGCACCATAAGAACCTTCTGCCTCACTTTCTAGACAGTAGTACTTCAGCTCCATATAGCTCTAAACACCACTGCTCTCAGTTTTGAGATATCTCCCTTTAGCTAAACAGGCACTAGATAAATCGTTAAGTGAACAAAGTGTCAGGTGAAGGTCTGTGAAGGCCCATCGACAACAACATGAAAGTTATGCAACCCAACACCATTCAGTGACAGAAGATCCCAGGTCAGTTCTCGGGTTGTGTTTCTAAGAATATTGGGCGGGAACTGGGATCTCAATTCTGAGAAAAATAAATCAAAAGAGGTTTGCAATTAATCCAGAATCACTAAGCTCTAAAGGAAGAAGGCATTATTGCAGGGGTCGGTATATTGGGATAGCAACTCAATATACTCATGTATGTATGTATTATTTTAAGAAATGTTGGCACAGTGTTTTACTCCTATTTCCATCTCTTAACTCATCTGTAGCATCCCAGTCTACTAATTATGATATTGCAATATCACAATGCATATAATCAGTAGCAAATGCAGCATTTGAGGTTAGCAAAGCAAGAAGCAGAAATGTGAAAGACGAAAAGGGGGAACGATATGATATGCAGCAGGAGGAAATCACAAGCTTATTTTTTATAACTCTGCCCTCTTTCTGCTCCTGTCTGTCTCTTCCCCCCCCCCCCCCCCCCTCCATCCCTCTGTTTCTTTCTCCCTTGCTCTCTCAGTTTTCCTAGACACCTGTGCAGGTCTAGTGTTTCAGCCGAGTCCCTGAAAAATGAATGCAGAGCTCCAATCTCTTAATCCACTCGGCTCCACACAGCCACGTCACATGACACCGCCACGGCCGTCCCGA